AGTGTAGTATTCTTGTGTGTCGTGTAATATTGAAATCAGATCAAACTGTTGGAGTAGCGTTTTAAAGAAATATCTAAGAAATTTCTATTTTTTTAATAACCTTGAAAACACCGTTATCGAAATTATGTATCTTACTGTTGTCTACTGTACCTGTGTGCCAAGTCATTTTGAAATCAGACCAAAACTATATAGGAGGAATTCTGTTTTAAAGGAATTTCACAGAAATTTCTATTTTTAGTAACTATGGCAATGCTATTCATTGAAATCAAAAACCTATGCACTAAAGTCTGTATCTTGATGTAGTCTACTTATTAACAAGTTATATGGAAATCAGACCAAAACTGGAAGGAGTAGCATTTTGAAAAGAATGTTTACAAATAGATGGACAGACAGACCGACGCATAATTAAGCTCTTCTTGTCTCTGACCCGTTCAGAGCTAAAAATCGGTTAGTTCATTTATATAGGATAAAATTTTGGTCTTAATACATTGAATACCTTAATAAAATATGACGGTTAAAGGAAATAGAAAAAAAAATGATTGACATCATCGCCTTGGAGTTAATTTAAAGGTTCGAATCTAATTTAATTATCAGCTTTCATCTCTGTTTCTAGGAATTCCCCTCCCAACGAGGTTTTACGTTATAGATGATAACAGTATGTTCCCCCAAATGTGTTATTGTCCTTTATCTATTAATTTATTTTGTATTTATATATATAAACTGAGCTATTGGCATCCGACTAATTACACATTTCTATAAATAAAAATACCTAAAAACGTAATAACATATGTTTTGAAAGAGCTTGATTCATATTAATTTGTTTTTTCGGATTTATTGACTGTACTTTGGTCGAACATTCGTGACTTTGCAACAAAATCCTTAGACAATTTTGTAACACTGCAGTCACGTGCCACCTTGTCCAGACGATGGAACTGACCGATCATTCACCAGGACAGGAAGGTCTGCCCCACTGACTCACTAATCAGATTATGTCTATTTAAATATTCACATCTACAATAATAACCATCTCGTTTTCTCCCTATTCTGTATACCTGAGAATCTTAATATGCGCCTGGAGTACAGACGTACTTGATCCCTTTTTATGTAACTTTATGGAGCACAATTAAATGAAATAAGTACAATCCTACAAAAATCCTTATCGTTGAAACAACAAAACTTTAAATTTCGGAGATCATGTCACCAAATTACTTTATAACAAGATTTTCAGATGATGATTAATTTTTGTTGAAATAAACATCGATTAATTTACTACCGTTACTAATCTTGTATCTTCTGAGTTTGCATTCATAAATAATACTTTACTTATGATAAGCAAAAATTTCAATAATGTTAACAACTGCATGTGGCACTACTTTACAGGAGTTCAGAGAGTATTCATGTTCAGCAGATTAAGGCTCGGATCTGATACACAATGAAAAAGGTGGATACACTGGTCGATCTCAGATAATTTCTAAACGAAACAAATCTGTAACAAGGCATATAATACTGATCCCTGGAAATTTTAGAAGTGGGATCAGGTGCCGAGGAGGAGTAAACATCCCTTGTTGACCAGGCATACCTACAATAAGATCTACACATATTGATCAGGTCGACCACATAATTATACATATAGTCAAACTCATTATTGAAACACTGGTCTAAATGAATCGCCATTATTACAAGTGGTGTTAAAGCGTGCTTTAACAAAATTGTTGTATTGTCTTCTAGTAGATATGCTTCATTTATTGTTTAAAAGTCCCCTTCGAGAATTTTTCACTCATATCGTGATGTCACCACTTGCCAGTGGAATCCTGTGACCTTTAAGCGGCATTCATAATGGCCTTTGGGAAGTCAGGGATCTTTTTCGTGCCAGCGTCTACAGCGAACCTCAGTATATACGGTCTCAACCGAAGGGCCGGTCTCCACGTGGCACGTCCCACAGTGGGATTCGAACCCGCGACGTGAGAATCATCTCTTACTCCTCGACTCAAAGGCAAACCCGCAAAGAGGTTTCTTTTTTTAAAATAACAACCCAAATCGTACAACCCCATTTCTGTAAAATATGAGGCAAGGGTGAACTGATTAGAAATGATTATTTACTCTGTACTGGGGATGGGGCATATGACCGTAGGATTGCTGGGGGAGGGGGAACACGGGGCGGGGGCGTGTCCCCAATAATGTTGCCGATGTATAGTATACTGTAGAAAACATATAGTATATGCTAAAGAAAACACGTAATAATACTATAGAAAACTAAGTTACTATATGCTCTTTTTTGGCCAAGGATTTTTGGTTGTTGATAGTATTATATATGGCTGATTTACCCCACCCCCTCCCCCAACGGAAATTAATTCCCACGGGCTTGTTGGGAGAGTATTAAGGAGATGTGGATCTGTTTAAAACGAATGATTATATTGGGTGTTTGCACGAAAAGACGTTGTAGACAATGAAACACTAATTTGATAATAAGAATGGAATATTTATTGGACAGACTGCCTTACTTTTTGCGGTTCGATGTACCCTTAAGGAAAAATCTGATAGGAGGATAGACACGAGAAAAACAACCTCGGGAAAAAAACATGTAATTGCCATCAATTCGAATTACTCATTCATTGGCTGTTGCCCATACATGTTTTCATTTCTTACCTCGCATTTCTTTTTCAACCAATCAATATTCGACTGATTTTATGACAGGCCTAAAGACGAACAGTGCATATTCTTGTAAGTGCAAAACACTCCATGTTATAAATATCTACATGCATCGTAAATCATGCGTGTAATATGTTGTGGTAACTATGCTTAGAAGACGAATTCCTAATATTTCAGATGACTTTGGAAATGTTTCAAACTGACAACCCGAAAAAAATGGTTAGGTAACAATATTTCCCATACTTGAAATGCCATCTACCGGCTGATTCAAACATCTGGATATAGTTATGTTTTATCAGCAATCGTATTCGAATGATTTTCATAAATTTGCAATTAACCGAATTCACCGTTAGAAAAAGACAAGATCAAACGTCGATTTCCGAGTTTGGTAACTATTCCCTGCAGCTACAGAAGGTACCCACTTGTTAAATTAGTTCACGACTATTCAATAACTGAATGAAAATCCAGTCGCTATTAACGATATAGCGATATTCATAATTCACCGAGTTTTTCGTAGGAAAGAGTTTTATGATTAAAATATGTATGAAAAGCCTTTAGCGGTATGCACCACCCACGTAACCCGTTACCAAAACTTATATAAATTCAACAACCAAATAAAGTCATTGGTGGGTAATCAAAAATATACAGTCAACTGAAACATAAGAATTCTAAATGGAAATCAGGCACAATAGAATTTTATGACGTCATACGAAATGCCTTTGGTGCAACATAGCCAAAACGGGCACTTATAAATATCTCGCTGTTCGAATTTTTGCAGTGCATGAATATTTTGTCGATTTTTATGTTCAATTATCCCGAAATAACCTTGTAAAGTGCAGAGAACACCAGGGCCATACTTGCACTGATGGAAAAAATGAATTAACCTATTTCTTTGTACCAGCTATTTGTGACGCGATCAATACTTGATACAAGGACAGCGATTGGCTTTTTAAAGCTTCATCGTAATCAATGACGAAGAGCAGATCCTGCAATGGATTAACGCGTAGTGCAGAACGGACTGCTGCAAGCATAGGCTGTACTTTCGCGATGAATAAAATCAATTGTGCAAAACAACTTGGGACAAAAACATTCATAAATGACATAAAGCCAGACTTTATCTTGATGAGCATCTATTAGAAGTGCTTTTCTTTTCTTATGAACAAATTTTACACGTCAAGATGTTAAAAACACGGTTCCACTTTTATTTAAGTTGAACAAAAGTACGTTATTTAATGAATTTTATAAACACGTCACATGAATTATCGTAATATTTTATTATTCTAATGTTTCCCATACACGTATTTTTGCCACATTGTCGGTATAATGTACAACAGGTTAAGGTACTTGTTTACTCAGAAGGAAAAAAAAATCTACTGATGATAATTAAAACTCGTCTATTAAATCAGCAAGACACACGTATGTATTGACAAAATCTACTTTAAAACATGTAGGTCAATGACCTACTTTTTTTACTATTAGCCAATGAAATCAAAGCATGAATTCACCATTGTAAATATGGATTTTTTAAGGTTACTTCAATCTTTTACTAAAATTTTTCTTGCGAGCATGTAATTGAAACATTCTACCATAGTAATTTATTAATCAAGGTGTTATCTTAAAAATAACAACAAAACTATTACAGAAATCAATTACGTTTTTATTTTCTGTAACCCGAATTTCCTCTGTTCAATGACATTTTATGCATGAAAATAAACCTTTTTTCATTCAAATATTCTAAAAATTTGGCTGATGATAACTCTTATTGGTTGTTTTATACAAACAGAGAACATCTTATAAGAAATAAAAATTAATCACAAAGTGGGTGTCAATGATCAAAATTTTGAGATATTTTGTTACAAATAACCTGAATTTCCTCCGTTTCATGACATTTTATGCATAAAAATAATCCTTTTTTCATTCAAATATTCTAAAAATTTGGCTGATGATAACTCTGATTGGTTGTTTTATACATACAGAGAACATTTTCTAAGACATAAAAATTAATCTCAAAGTGGGTGTCAATGATCAAAATTTTGAGATATTTTGTTACAAATAACCTGAATTTCCTCTGTTTCATGACATTTTATGCATATAAATAAACCTTTTTTCATTCAAATATTCTAAAAATTTGGCTGATGATAACTCTTATTGGTTGTTTTATACATACAGAGAACATCTTCTAAAAAATAAAAATAAATCACAAAGTGGGTGTAAATGACCAAAATTCTGAGATATTTTGTTACAAATAACCTGAATTTCCTCCATTTCATGACATTTTATGCAAATAAATAAACCTTTTTTCATTCAAATATTCTAAAAATTTGGCTGATGATAACTCTTATTAATTGTTTTATAAATACAGAAATCACCCTGAAATAAATAAAAATAAATCTCAAAGTGGGTGTCAATGATCAAAATTTTGAGATATTTTGTTACAAATAACCTGAATTTCCTCTGTTTCATGACATTTTATGCATATAAATAAACCTTTTTTCATTCAAATATTCTAAAAATTTGGCTGATGATAACTCTTATTGGTTGTTTTATACATACAGAGAACATCTTCTAAAAAATAAAAATAAATCACAAAGTGGGTGTAAATGACCAAAATTCTGAGATATTTTGTTACAAATAACCTGAATTTCCTCCATTTCATGACATTTTATGCAAATAAATAAACCTTTTTTCATTCAAATATTCTAAAAATTTGGCTGATGATAACTCTTATTAATTGTTTTATAAATACAGAAATCACCCTGAAATAAATAAAAATAAATCACAAAGTGGGTGTCAATGATAAAAATTTTGAGATATTTTATTACAATTAACCTGAATTTCCTCTGTTATTTTTCAATTTCATGTGATATTCCATTATTTCTCCTTATAATGTGTAATAAAAAGAAGTTGAATTGCTTGACAAAATCTTTTCATGTCAACTCGGTGTGATTTTTTTAACTTCAAAAATAGTTTATGGACATTATTCTAGGAAAGTAAGGGAAACAAACTTAATTACAATCCCTTGTCCCATATTCTACACATTCTCGATTTAAATCATAGCAAAACCAAGAGATCATACAAAATTCTGCAATACACACGCCGTGTATGAAAAAACCAGTACACTCAATATAATTTAAAATTAATTTTTGAATCATTTAGTTAAAATAAATTAAATTTACATGCAATAAATGTAATGATTAATAAATCAAAAATGAATTAATGCATGAACAAAGTAAAAGATAGAATGTACTATTTCTTATATGACTCAACATCATCCATTTCAAGACAAAACTAATGATCAACTTCTTTCATGAATTTTGCACAATATGACCTCAATGTTTGTGAGCAAAGTACAAGAAGCAAAACTCCAGAAAATATACATCTAGTGATCATTTAACTTTCGTTTGAAGACATGAAAAACTGGGTAACATTATCAATAATTTTCTTGCACTTCGTAACTCTGACAGATTTGTTGTCACACAGCTCAGTGAATAGATTATAAATGCCATCAGGACTTCTAGAATGTGCTAATCTGAGACATTCATAGTTTAGGCCACTACCTGCCACCTTCTTTGCCATTCTGACACTCAAAACATTTTTATCAATCAAACCTTGTAAGGATGGAATGTTTCTATCTACAACCTTCTGGTAGTTATGGACACTCAAAGCATACTGAAATGTAAATGTACAAGATGAATGTTCGCCATCACAAAAATGAACAGTGTCAAATAACCTCTGCAAAGCTAAAACATCCTCTACAGCATCATGTGCATTGTAAGTACATTTTAGTAGCACTTCTGATAAATATTGCTGGCTATATGAACACAAATTTGGATGGACAAGTTTGAATAGAAATCTAGTATCTAAAAAACCTTGTACACATTTTGACATTCGATCCAATAGCGAACAAGAATCTAGAGCTTGAAAAAGAACATGAACATCAAAACTTTTGATATTGTGGCCAACTAAAATAACATTGCCTTGCTTCTCAATAAAGCTTAAAAAAGAGCCAAGTGCATTGGAAATTGAAACAGCATTGACTCTTCTCTCATGGTGATAGAGGGTTCCATTATCCAGCTTTAGGCCGGTAATTGTGGAGGCAGAGGGTGTAATTGGCTTCTTAGGCATTACATAGGAAGAAAATGTCTCCTTCCCACAAATGGCAGCCACCTGTAGAATGTGTGATGTTCTCGCTGAAATAAAAAAAAAACATTTATTACAAAAAAAAACTACCAAAATCTACAATAGCATTCATTATCTTTTTAATTTTTTGTACCAAAATCAGCATTGGCTTTCTTTCATATTTTATAAATTAGATAAGACAACTTTTTTTTTAAGTTTTCCATAAAACCAATTGTACAAATTTAGTTTAGAGAAATAAAATTCATCAATACCAAGTCCTGTTGTTTCCAGGTCAAAAAAGACAAATTTTTTGTCTTTGGTTGACAAACTCTGCTGTTGTGGTTCAGATGAGGGTGGTGGAATTTCATCAACTACAACATTGGAATCAGAGATTCCAACCCCAGACTGATATGTTGGGCCCTCTCTTATCTCTTTACATACTGTAGTCTGGACTCTGCAAAGACAATACAATTTTGAAAATCTATAACTGAACAACTAGTATTTGAACCCTCAAAACAAAATTAATTTTCAAAACTTTACAAAATGAGCAAAGTTAAAATATTTGAGTATGCATGAAATGCACAACCAATTTTGTTTTGTCAACATTTAATAATATCGTTATGAATACCTTACAAAATTAAGACAAAGCTCCAGGTATATGACAAACAGCGGAGTCCAACACAATCAAACCCCACAAAGAGGTTGGAGGTGGAGTACGTAATTCTGTACACAGGGTTATTTTTTGCTGTTTTGCACTTGCAAATAATTTTGCTCCATTTTCCATTCAACCAGTCATAGTTCTGTTTTAGAAATTATGCTGTGTAATTTGAAATCACCCCGTTTTAAATTCGGCCAATGAAGAAGAGGGCGAAAGGGGTGAAAATTCAATGAGCCAAAATTTCCCTGTATACATAACTTATAATAGCTTTTGATTTAAAAACTTACTTCTTGGCTTTCAACTGCATTCTTTTCCTTTTTGCAGTCTTTGTTCTGGCAATGGCTTTTCTTTTTCTTGATTGAGAATCCCGCAAGTAACAGAATTTTCTTGTGTGTCTTCCTGGGGAGAGACCAACTCCTCTGTTCACCTATTAAAATTATCAACATGTTATAATGCCAAAGCTCAATAAATTTACTAGTATATCACTGATTCACTTGTGACCTTAATCTTTAATACTGTAGACATAATTTTTTCCATGGGGTCATAATTCTGCGAAATCTCAATTTTCGCAGGTAAAAAATTATGTCGTTTTTCTAGATTTTCACTATATTTCTTATATTCATATTAAGTACGCTTGGACAAATTTCTGTTTAAAGAGCAAGAGCCATGTTGGGCCTTATTTGGCCCTGAGGATTTCTGAAAAATCGAAACCTCTCAGTTTAGGTTGCAAGTGTAGTATTTATTACTTGGAATGTTGGTGATCATGTGTCTATTAATCGTGACGTAATTTTTCATCTAGTCAATTGATTATGACGTCATCAAATGCGTCATTTTCCTCATATTGTGTAAATTCCTTTAAAAATGGCCTAAAATTGAGGAATTTTTTCAATATTTCATATAGAGCACAACCTCTGATCCAAAATATGCAAATACATAATGAAAGCTCTGTTTCTGAAGATCAAATAACATGTTTTATTTTTTGGATCGTGGGCTGTGCTCATATTTAAATTCTTTGCTGAAGGTAGTCAAATACGCATATTTTCTGCAAATTTCAAGAACATTGCAATTTCTCAAAGCCTGTTTTCAAATATTTGGATTCTCAAAACGAAATTCCATTATACAACATGAAAGCACCAAGTGTCTACTTTATTTTGACATATAAAATGGGAAAGAGGGTGATAGTTAATTATTTGATATAAGTACAGGGCCATTTATGCATAACTTGGCTCTACCTCTTTGTGACGGCAATCATAGTGTACATTAAAACCACGCTGAAAAAAGTACTTCTACAGAATATGAATTGTTATTTGTCATCATCAGACAACTGCATAACTATAATTATGACTTACCTCAATCAGATATTTCTGCCCTGCATTTTTCTCTGCAACACTTGCTGCAACTCTGTAACTGAGACTTGCAGATCCACCAAAGTGATGATTCTTGGGAGCTTTTAGGGAGACAGCTTTGTTGAACGCTTCATTTGCTTGTGTACTTCCTAATCTTGAAAGTTTGGAAGTGTCCTTCAGCAGCTTGGAGCAGATGAGTTGAATGGACTCTTGAAGATGGCTGTCCTTGAGTGGTTTTCCATATGGCAAAGCAGAATATTTCTGTTTCGGATTGCTGATATGGGAACACCAAGATTCATTGCAAGCGCTGTGATCACCAAAAGGGTGCCTGCTTAATGCTTCCAACCCTCTCTGTACCCCCTCTGTATTTCCTTGGTTTTGTGACATGTAGTTAAAACATTTTACAAAGTACCGAATAACTTTAGTACTCAGTGATCTGTGTTTTGGTTGCAAACCATACAAATTTGAAGTGAAAATTTTCCTTATATGGTTTTTATCACTAATCTTTGTAATGTTTGAGTGGACATTTCTCAAATGACAAAAGGTAGTGGTGTCCTCATCTGCAACCACATTCGTTATGTTCACCCCTTCTTCCACTTTTCTGGAGACCATTTTAGCCACCATATCCTTTTCCATTGCTTTAGAGCTTCCTATATAGAAATGTTAAAGCTAAATTGAGATGTATAAAAATGATCACATTTCAAAATTAAAATGTATGAGACTGATTGTTGACAGCTTAAGATATCATATCTAAAAATTTAAGTTATATCTGGTGGTTAATTAAATGAATTTCCTTTATTTTTTCTAACAAATATAGTGTGAAAACCTAACTTTGCTCAATAACTTTTCATTTTTATTTACTTTTACTTATAATATATATCCTATATTCTAGGATGCTGTTGTTTTACAATATTTTTTTTAGGTTATTTAAGTGTGATGGCATGTTGCCTGTTGGTGTTATTTAAAGTTGTGCTCATTTGATTTGTTGTTTGTTTGTAAGTGCAAAAGCCTGCTTTTCTTAAATCACTGGTGAGCTTTTGTATCTAAAGGGCCTATCTGGACACCATACTCATGGGTTGTATTGATTGTCATGTCTCGCACAAAATTAATTTGCTTGCTAAATGTTTTTCTCAAGTGCTTTCAAGCAGTTTAAAGTACATGCATTTGCATAACAAGTTTTTAGTTAAGGTGAGAATAGAGGGAAAGGGATAAGTGGGCCATTTCTCTTTCTGAGAGAATAACATACCTTCCCAGTTTTTTCGGCAGTCATGATCTTTGGGGTCATTTCCATTTCTTGTGGCACTCTCACAAATTTTGCAACATTTTGTTCTAATTTCATAGTCAATGACTTTGCCTGTCTGGGATCCAATCATGGAGCAATGACCTAAAAATATGTTTCAAATAAAAAGTTATGCAGATTCAGTTATCAAAGGAATAAATCTGTTATATTCATATATGTTAAGAAATATATTTATTCAAAAATATATTATAAAACATTTGGATTTTTACTTTGTTACACATTCAACTCCTATTAAAAGAAAAAAGTTGTGTTTGTGAAACACTATGTGCCCAGTGGCAACAAAGTTCCAAAAAACTATTTTTAGCATACAGGTCATAAGTCAAGGAAACAAGGTTATTGGCCTTGATGTCATTTGAAAGAGCTTAATTAGTGAGGTATGCATACCAAATATGAAATCTCGATCTCCTATGGTTCAAGTTATGGCAAAAGTTTGAAAAAGCTTATTGCCCAGTCAAGGTCACATCAATGACCTAGGTGTCGTTTGAAAGAGCGTAATTACATGAAGTGGAGTATGCATACCAAATGTGAAAGTTATGGCGAAGGTTTAAGTTTACAACAGACAGACAAAAACAGACGTACAGGACAAGAGGCCCAGGGGCCACATCGCTCACCTGAGCAATTGGCTTGGAAAAAGCACATATCAGATCAGAACTGAAAGTTTACTAGGGTGGGGGGGGGGGAGGGGGCTTGAAAATTAACCCCCCAGGGGGTCATGATTTGAACAAACTAGAATCTACACTACCTGAGGATGATTCCCTATAAATATAACTAAGCATGGCTTTGAAGTACTTGAAAAGAAGATTTTAAAAGGTTTCCCATTATATTCCTATGTAAAACTTTTATCGGTCATTTGGCCCCACCCTACCCCTGGGGGTCATGATTTAAACAAATTTGAATCTACACCATCGAAGGATGATTCCACATGAGTTTCATTTTTCCTAGCCTAGTGGTTCTTGAGAAGAAGATTTTTTAAAAATGCCATTATTTTTTCTCTATTTCATGATTATCTCCCCTTGGAAAAGGGCGTGGCCCTTCATTTGAACAAGTTGAATCCTCTTTACCCCAGGATACTTTGTAGCAAGTTTGGTTAAAATTGGCCCGGTGGTTCTTGTGAAGAAGATGAAAATGTGAAAAGTTTACGACAACGACGACGACAACAACAATGTCAGACGACGGACAAATTTTGATAAGAAAAGCTCACTTGAGCCTTTGGCTCAGGTGAGCTAAAAACAGTATACGCCCCTGATCTATCAATCTAGGCATAAATGCACAAAAAAAATGCACAACATACCAGAGAGGCTGTCAAAGGATCGCCCACTGCCTCGTTTCTGCCAACCTGCGTCGACACTGACCGTTAGCTCGTCTGTACCTTCACACCTTAAAAATCATAAGGAAGCTATCAGAAACATGAAGCGAGTTTTTTTTTCCAACTTGATTGAGGTTAATCCCTTTAAATCTATACTTTTTAAATGTGAAAATTATGATTTACTTCTTAAATGTAAAATGCAAAAGATGCATATATATGTACTATATGAGTCTCAGAATAGAAATACAGTAAAACTTGGTTATAGCAAAGTCCTGGAGACCTATGAATATATCCATTATTGGTTATGTCAGTATAAAAAACTTACATGAATGTAAAAAAAAAAATTGACAATTAATTTACACATTTTCCTTTGGGTATTTTTACTGAATATGTAAGGAAATAATTGTTACAAAACATTCTATTGATATGTTTTCATTATGAATTGCCGAAAATAAATTCAGTTCAATATATCTGTAAATTTGTTACATTAGAGTTCCTTATAACCACATATAATTTTATTTTAAAAATGTGAAGAATTTTTGCTGGGAACACAAAAAACTTCACTTTATCCGTGAATTCACTATAAATATTCCTACTAAGTGAGTTCTTTTCTGTATGTACATACTCTATGGTTGCCTGAATTTCATCGTCAAGGCTGCGTCTGGTGCTTTCCTCTGCAATTTTCTCCATCACTGTTCCTGTTTCATTTTGTCTGTTCTGCAGAGTTCGGGAACTGATAGGGGGGATATTCAATGATGTTAGGAAGGTATTCACTTGAGATGGCCCCATACCTGTATGCACCATTCCTAAAAATATATAATTCAGATGCATTTATGAAAAATAAAACAAATTTATGACAGGATATTAATCTGGTTCATAATATACATGTTCTGTAATTGAAAAATTAATACAAAATATGTACCTGTGGCAAGCTTGGTATTTGCATCCCATATTTTTCCATGTCGCTTTCCAGTGGCTATTTTATTTACATGATGGCACGCTGTATTCTGGCACTGGACTTTCAGGAATGAACCCAAGCCACAAGTTAGTATCCCCAAGGTATGTGAAAGATGGAGAGGTATGCCACAAACTCCACAACCCGAGAGCCCATCTGCCAATACCCCAAGTTCCACCACCCTTCTCCCTTCTCTCCATGCAGTGTCATATCTTAATTAAGCAAAATAAGTGTTATTTGGATTAACTTTAAAGTTCATTGCAGTTTTTTTCCTATGAACAGGCAACTGGTCAAATTGACAGCTTCAATTGACAAAAATGTTGCTTTGAAATAACAATCTGTTGTAAGGTCCACAGCGATTTTGTTCATAAACCTCATAACCTAGACTTTTACAAATGATCTCTTACCCTTTACTTTGAAATACTCGTAAAAAGAAAACAATGTGAATGATCACTTATACATTGTAACAATTGTGCATTGATCATGCAATAAAATTGACCAGCCCACAGACTACTTCTACCTATTAATAGCTACGTAGATATTTAAACCTACACAAAGTAGTTATTTTTACCTACTTTCTGTTTTACTTGCATTTTGTGGCCAAATGCATGAATGGCACAACATGGTCAGCACTGAATTTCCTGATACACTAACAGACACACTGATGATGGACAAGACAAAAATTTGACCAAAAATGATTACTTTGTACAGTTAATTCTCGATAAACCGCCACCTTTTGTAATTTAGAAATCATGGCGGTATAACGAATTTGGCGATGATTTGAATTTCCCATCTTTTAGGAAACAAGAAATAGAGTTACCGTTCTTAGAAATACCATAAAACGTTTCTATTCTTATAATTACATGTACATGTATATAAAACATATTTCTAAATTTTTTAAAATACTTCAAGTAATTCTTTATGTACAACTTTTTAAAAACAAAATATGCAGTTATGAAATAAAGACAAGTACATGTGCATCTATGTACATGTAAATCGGCACGTCTGATATTGAAAGAAAAAACTTGTTGATCTTCGTGATATTTTGCTGACAGTACGTAAAATGGTTTCTTGAATAAATTTATTGTTTATATTTATTGTTAGTGAAACGTTCACAATTCATACCGTTTATTAATTTTTAAGCAAACTTTGCATTGTTTAAAGCAGAGATCATCAAAATAATATCGTATTAGGCGTACTTTCACAACTACCGCTTTCGTGGCGAAGCCGTGATAAAATAATTTTTTAACAAAACAACAGAACAAAATCATTGTAACAGTTCATGTTAAAATTATTTGTTCATTTAATTCTAATTTAATTATTTAATTGCGTGTACCTTGTCTGGCTTTGCATGCTTTACAACAGGGATAGCGTCAACCAATTAGCCGCGCTTCACTGACCGCACGCACCTGTGGCGGTATATCGAGATAATTGACACTTAAAATGGACGTTTGTTTTGAAAACAGGGTGGCGGATGGCGGTATGCGAATTTGGCGTTATAAAGAGAATTTTATATAGCAGGAAAAACGTTCTTGGGAAATCATGGCGGTATTGCGAAAATGGCGATGAATCGAATGGCGATAATTCGAGAATTGACTGTATATGATCAATTTTGCATAGAAACTAAGGTAAAATTTCCGATTCAGAAAGTAATCAATTTTTGGTCAAAATTTTGTCTTATTCATCATTAGTGTGACTGTATCAAAAATGATGGTATTAATTAATATATATAAAACATGTTGCGTCGTTCAGTCATTTCACCACAAAATATAGATAATACCAAAAGTAGGTAAAAATTGTTACTTTGGGTAGGTTTAAATACCTACGTAGCTATTGATAGCATAGGTTACATGTTACTGACATTGTACGTCGGATTAGCAGCTGATGGACTTGGTTATATTCCTCGATCTCTTTATAAATCAGTGTTTATTATTTCATGTACAGTAGGCAACGATAATTCGTTACGAAAGATTTACGCATATTTAAAACTACAGAATATTATCATTAAGAGATTCTATATAGTCTTCATCTTTACCTGGAATTTTCTGGGTCGTTGAAGGAGACGGAGACGTCTCTACCTGCCGGTTCTGGTACGTAATTGTCATCATGATGATCTTCTCCAGTCTCATCCCCCACAGCTCGACTCACATCGTAATCATGATCTAAATTAATCTTATTTTCTGCCCAACGGTTTTTCAGAATCTGAGAATTCTTCCTGTACTGTGACGTTTTCTTGGAAAAGCCTTGCTTTTTCCAGTGTGCCATAGTCATACATGTCAGTGCAGTCTCATGCATTGACAGACGATTGTTTACATTTTACCGCGCTGATACGGCATATGTCGTAAACAGTATATTTTCGATGGATTGTAAATATTAGAGTAACATAGACATAAATGTTGGTTATTTATGTAATGTTTTACTCTAAACTATAGTTTTAAATACAAAACTATTCATTTACACATTTTGTTAATTTTACGACATTTTTAAGTATGGCGACCCGTTGTTGTTAAAATATCGTGAGTAAACAAGTACCTTAAGCAAAGTATAAATTAATCAACGAATCAATTTACTCCTCAAACCGAAGACAAATTTTATGTTCGACTGAAAGACCTTGCTTGTAGATTTGTGATACAGTTGATCAATGAATGCATTCAACTTTCGTCTTATTGGTCGACTTGTAAAATACATGCAGCTGCTCGTAAACATGATATTTATTTCGTACAAAATGTTTTTGAAGTAAACAAAAAAATGAAGATATGGAATTTCTGTGATGTAACCCCCCAAAATGCGTTAGCCCAATGACCGGGTTATTTGGGAACACTTCAAAGGATCCCAGGGAAGGCAGTATATAGCTAAAGAATGCCAGTCCAACCACGAGGTTCATTTGATGTTGTGACCTTGAACAAGCCCGAGTTTGCATTGTTGCGCGTCGCTCGGCGGAAATTCTGGGCTGTGCTTCCCTTGGCATATTTGTACTTATTAATGTGCGACCGAATTTTACGGCAGGAGATAAAATGAATGATCGGCATTCCTAAGTAATCGTCTAAAGTTTTGTGAACACATGACCGAATTGCTTATCAAATATCGTCTAATTTTCTTAAACTACAATTTGATTAGCCTATAAATGTTTTCGGGATGTTACGACACTTTTTTTTTCAAAGAAAGTTGAAATTGCTTCACCTTAAATAGAAATGTTCACTTTTGCATCCTGCTCAGAAAATGCTGAAGCAATTAATCGAAAAATCTAAAAAATCATCTCAATAAAAAGTTAATGAGAAATACCACGACCGACTTAGAGTCAAGGGAAAAAGTGGTCATGTATACATATATTTAGAAGATGTATTACCGGTATGATAATTATACCTACTCCAGTTAAAAAGGTAATACATTCTTGATTAACAATGTAACTAAATGTATAAGTAAATGAAAGGAAAATGTATATTCATTAGAGTTATAGAAGGGTTTATAGAAACCTACCATTTAACAAGCACTTCTTCAAAGAATAGTTGATCTTTGCTAAACGTTGGCCTATATCTCGCTGATCTTAAATGTAGGACTTGCACCACCTTTTCAATTACGCACGAACGCAATGTAAGTTACTGTGCTTTACAAAGCTTTCTTAGATATACCAATTCGCATATATACTAAAAGAAAAGGATCAAAGGATCCTAGAATCGCAGAATAAATTGTAAATATGACTTTTGCAATTTTTTTTTTATCTGAAGAAGCTTCATCTGCTTATTCATTTCAAATTTGATTTGCATGATTTTGTTTATCAAGATGATCACTTGAAAGAACTATTATCTCGAGTCTGTTAATTGAAATTGTAACTGTACATGAATTTCAGGTATTTGTACTGTATAGTTCAAATTAGTATCGTGGAATAGAGATTTTAATGGTTTAGATGAATATTTTCCTCCAACGCTCTTGTAAAATTTTCAGTACCATAATATGAAACTTTGTAGCATATTGCAATGGAAATTTTATCAGTTGTAAAAATCATGCTTTAACACCTTTCTGCTGTGAACCGTTTTATTGGTTATTTCCATAAACATTATAAATAGATTATGAAGTATAACATAGAGGCCTAACAATGTATTTTACGTCCTTTAAAAAAAAATTAGATACTACAAAAGGAATTTTTACTATATAATTATATATGTAGGACTTGACAAACCTATTTGTTTATGGGTCATTAAAAGTAGGGAAAAGAGATGATGCATAGTATTTATAAAGTTATAATAAAAATTCCTAGATTCCTCCGAGCATGGAAAAGTAGAATGATTTTGTAAGAGGTGTGCATTCATTGTGACTCTGTAAACCAGTTTCTCTGTCCTTGACGTACAGCGCTGTTTGAATGAAGGCAAACTTTTCAAAAGTATTTCACACGACGTAAAACAAGTTAACAACAATGTCAAAGTCATATTGTAGGTGTCAATATCGAAACAAGAGACTTGCAAAATACGCTTTCATTTTTTTTTTTATTATTTACAAAATGTTTTATTTCTTTACTTGTTAAACTTTTTATTTTCATCTCAGGCATTGTAAACGTTGGTAAAATACAGTATTCTTTAATGCAAAATGTTGACTCAATATTTGGAATACAAGCACGACTCTCAACACGCCAAACTGGAACCACGTGGACCCCGTGAAATACTAAAATAATATATATATCCAAAATTTGCAACGTAATAGTATTGATCACGATCAGATGTCCCATATTCTCTTCATTCATAACGACAACAAATAGCCTTATCTACCTCCTACCCGCTATAACAAGCACGGCCAAGACAAATGATCCGGCCCCTGGCACCTTGCCAGAGCTACACACTATTGTAGTAAGATGTATGTCATGGCCTTCGCTTGCTTTATTTAGCATTACCCTACTGACACAATAGTTGTAATGTCAAATTTTGTGATATTCATAAGTGCCCTTACTTCAAGCTAAACCTAGTTTAAACAATATACATTTAAAACACATAGGATACTTTTTGTCCCGTACTCATCAGACGAAAATATGGCGTGACGTTTGTTAATGGAGCTGCAATTGCAAACATTCAAATCATTTTTGTAACACGCCTGTTTAATTAGTCAACAAGTTTTTCAAGTTTCATTTTTTTAAGATTGCATTATGTTTTCTCCTATCTGTCGAACTCTGGATAAACCACCACGTGAATAGCTTTTGGCAACACTTATTTGACATATGCCTTCTTGACCACTGTCCATTTGTGCAGACGACGGTCAACGGGGCAAATCAAGGACACGTCTGTCTAGTTATAGAGAGGTGAAGCAAACTTCCCTCTGAGCGCTTAGGACACAGAAGTCAAGAATAGGTGTCACATGCGCGGGACAGCCAGCTAAATTTATGGACACCATTCCAGCAAACAGTAGCAATAACAATCAAATGACGAGTCCTTGGTCCCTGCTGCTGATCCAGATGTAGGGATGATACAATGTCATTTGTCACTATCAGAAGGAAAAGATCCCTGTATTATTAACCAGAAGTCTCTGTCGAGACTGTAGCTCTACTGGTTTGTACTTATCAAAAAAACCATTGCACTATTTTATGTATCTTTGTGTAGTCTACTTGTGTGCCAACTTATTTTTTGAAATCAAACTAAAACTGTAGAAGAAGTAGCGTTTTAAAGGAATTTCACAGAAAATTCTATTTTTAGTAACCATGGTAACACCGTTCATCGAAATCAAAAACCGATGCACTATTCTATGTATCTAAGTGTAGTCAACTTGTGTGCCAAGTTATATTGAAATCAGACCAAAACTGTAGAAGGAGTAGCGTTTTAAAGGAATTTCAGAGAAAATTCTATTTTTAGTAACCATGGCAACACCGTTCATCGAAATCAAAAACCGATGCACTATTCGATGTATCTTAGTGTAGTCTACTTGTGTGCCAAGTTATATTGAAATCAGACTAAAATTGTAGGAGGAGTAGCGTTTTGAAAAATTGTTTACAGACAGACGGACAGACAGACAGACAGCTAGACAGACGGACGGACGCCGGACGCATTACTATCGCATAAGCTCTTCTGGTCTCTGACCAGTAGAGCTAAAAAGCACAATTTAAAATCAAATTAAAATTCGAACTTATTAACAAAGAACTGCAAAGGATTGTTCCACCGAGAAGTTGTACATGTCTTATTTTACATGCTTGACGTGAACTCTGTATGTTTTGATTGGACATCTCTCCTAGTTTCCTAGATAGCCTTGTAGCAGAAGAACGTTTATTTGTATACATTGGACATATTTTCGTAAGGTACATCTTTTCTTGACTGACGTTTTGACCTGCATGTATAAGTCCAGTGGATTCGTCCTATTTTTCAATTACGGTTTTTAGCTCACCTCAACGAAGTTGGAATAGCTAAGAAATGCCCTTGATGTCAGCGTTCCTGGTTCAAGTTTTTGAAATGGATTTCTTTTTCAAGTGCTTCTATGTTCTACATAAAACAAAGATGCATAGAAGATTATTCTATCATGTTTGCTTGTACCTGTCAAAGTTTTAGTTGTTACAGTAAAGGTTTCAGATTTAGCTAAAGAATGTCAAGGTTAATATTTCCGGAGCAGGTTAATGGTTTTCAAGCAGGTTAAAATTTTTGGAGAAGATCTCATCTCCAAGAATCTCAAACTGATACAGTATGGATGCCAACTTAGTATGCTGGATCAGAAGTACATTGCTGGATTAAGGACCTTAATGTTTTAAGGGTGCATGTAAGTTCATTCTTAAGTAATTATTGGCTCCACTTGGACCAAACGTGCATGAATGATACAGCTACCAGGCTTGTTTCGTCATGGTTGCTTATTTGGTAGAGCGCCCGCCCTTTGATCGGAAGTTTAAGGTCATGGGTTCGAGCCTCTAGTCGCGACTGATGTACTAAATCGATAACAACTACCCCAGGATGTTTCCACAAAAGTTTCAGCTTTTCTAGCCCAGTGGATCTTGAGAATTTAAGATTTAAGAAGAAAAATCGTATACACTGTATATTTCAATGTAAAACTTGTACTCCCTATTGTGGCCGCGCCCTACCCAAGGGTCATGATTTTAACAATTTAGAATGTACACAATCCAAGGATGCTTCCACATAGGTTTCAGCGTTTCTGGCCCAATGGTTCTTGAGAAGAAGATTTTTGCTATATATTTCATGTAAAACTTTGAATCCCTATTGTTGCCCCGCCCTACCCCCTGGGGTCATGATTTTAACAATTTAAAATCAACACTACCACAGGTTGCTTTCACTAAATGTCAGCGTTTCTGGCCTAGTGGTTCTTGAGAAGAAGATTATTTTTAACAAGTAGAGCTTTTTAAAAAAGCTTACCGTCTTTAGCAACAATTTTAAATAGTAAACAGGTCTACACTTATCAGGCCGTATAATTCTTTTGAATTTCTTGATTTTGTATTTCTAAATTAGCTTTTTACGGGCATTAGCCCTACCACGGTTGTCGCTCGGTCATCTCCGTAAACTGGCCGAGATTTCACGGCAAAACTCGGTATGATTCCCATTCTCTC